CTTGAGCCCGATTGGGTCTCTCAGGTGGGCTCACACTTCTCTCTTGCAGTCCATTGGTCGTTTTAACCAACCTATTAGATTGTTTCCCTGTCCCAGCCGCATGGTCTCTTGGCAATGAGGCCTGGCTGGTCTCATTGTCTTACAGGCTTCCCGGTTCGCCTCTGCACAGCAATAGTAAGCAACAGTAACATGATCACAACTATTAACAGGTCACAGCTGCAACAGAACTGCAGCCATAGGCAACTGCAGAACACTCCTGATCACAAACTCCTCATCAAGAGGCAATCATGGAAACCCTGCTTGTAATAAAACCGTTTCATTTATTTCTTACATGCCGGTCGTGTGTATGAGGGCAGGGTTTCCCTCCTTAGTCTGCACTACATGGCCCTGGTTAGCTGGAATGTGGAGGAATCCCTGCTCTGTCACTGTGGGGAAGTCCTGCAGCCGCTGGGGTGATTGTGGGGACTGCAGCATGGCCCTGCGACTTGGAGGAGGAAGGCGGGGGGGAGGGGGCGGGGGGAGGGGCGGGCAGGGTTTCTACCTGTGATCTTCCATGTGGCATGCCCAATTCTAAGGCATCTCTTTGATCTCTTCCTCCGGGCATGTCTTAGACATTTGCTTATATAGGGTCAGAGGCGCCCTGCCTTAGGCAGATGGTAACTATATGGTGGCCAGTCTCTTCGCGAACGAAGAAGCGGGGAAGGTCTTTCCACCTTCCAGCCTGCGCATTGGATTTTTTAGGTGAGACACAGTGTGCGCGGAACTGAGCCCACCCTTTAATCCTGAGGTTCATCTGCCGGGGCCAAGCACGCTTGGACGGTGGCAGCGAGGTCCTCAGGACGTAGATGGATTGCCTTTACAGGGCTAACGAGCTCCATCTGCCCGGGGAGGGACCCCGACCGGGAATCGAACCCGGGTCTCTGCAGTGACAGTGCAGTGTGTTTTCCTCTACACCACCGGGGGTAACTATATAACAACAGTACGTTTAACATGCACAGTGTGCAGGTGCTGTTGTAACAGTCAAAACAATTCACTTCTTGCAGTTGGAACAAAAACAAACAGAAGGCAATGATGAAGCATGTATTGCTTCCATCAGTTCTTTACACCACCTCAATCTATTTTGTGTCCATTCATCAATTCTTATTTATAGATTTAAAAAGTGTCATGTTTTACCATTCAGTAAATGAAATTAAAATCTTCTCTGGAAAATGTAGCTATGAAGTCTGTCAGCTGTAATGATTCTATCAAGACTGGATTAATTTTCTTCATCTCGATGGTAATAGATAATCTGTTCCTCTAATATACATTTTACTCCATTGAAATCCTGTGCCTGGCCTTGAGCATCTAGTAATACAACACTTACTTCCCAAGTAAACATCACTTTTCTTTTAGCTATTTGAAAAAGATTTACATCGAATATAATTTCCATTATGTATTTAAGGTTCACAAACTACAAGACTTTCAGGTACATTTTTGAATCTAGGTGTTGCCCGCCACAATAAGAAGCACAAACCAACAGAGTGCTAGTTCATGCTGGTGCTTTATTTTGGGCCCGGGGATCCGGGGAACTCACGTCCCAAAGCCAGAATCCCGAACCCTTCATTTTGAGCACATCTTTTATACACTCAGACAAACAAAAACATTTGCTATAAGCTACTACTTCAAAGTACATGGTGAAACTTAATATTTCATCCAAATAATTAGTTCCCAGCTAGGTCATCATAAATCATCCCCAGTTGCCTAATTCGTTTAACTCACTCCCACCACCAGGTGCATGTTTTTTATGCTTCAGTTCCTCTTTTCATAATTGTTTCATTTTAATCTTGCATAACTAGCACATTCCGATCCTTTTGGGGCCTCAGAGGCCTGGCCTATACAGAAACCCTTAGCCATACTACTGCTAACTCAGAGATCATTGCAACAATCCCCCCTTTTGAGCATTCTTCAATCTTCAAGTGCAAGGATGCTCAAATTATCTAAATCGAAGTTTCGCGTTGATCAGAAGAGTCGCACTGATCAGAAGACTCGCCATTGGGGAGGATGGCCTCTTTTCGGGTCACTGCCATGATGATTCGACGAATGTGCTGTCCTTCCTTTACAATCAGTCCTAGGAGACACTTATATACAATCAAAGCAATGAGGATTATAATTCCAAACATTATAACATACTGAATAATTGAGGATAGCCATCCAGAAACATTTAAACCAAGGGAGCTGAATATTTCACCGATCCAATTATGCTCTGCATCCTTTTGTAAATTTTGCACATTCCCTTCAATTTGTTCTAACTGAGAAATATCATTTTCAACCTCATGTGTGACATTTGGAATGTGGATGCAGCAGTGTTCATTCCGTGCATGCAGGTAACCACAAACTCCATGTTCCTTTAATAGAATTAAATCTAATGCCATTCGGTTTTGTATAGTCATGCGAGTAGTTGCTTGTAATTGGATATTCATGTCTTTAAATCCCTTCTTGGTAGCCGCTGCCAATCTTTCTGTTTGACTCATTAATTTGAAC